TTTATACCAGTGGGGTTTTTTTTTTAAACACTTAATGTCATTAAAAAATATTTATTTGGCTGCACCGGGTTTTAGTTGAGGGATAAGAATCTAGTTGCAGCATGTGGGATTGAGTTCCCTGACCAGGGATTGAACTTGGGCTTTCTGCATTGGAGGAATGGAGTCTTAGCCCCTGGACCACCAGTGTTTACACCAGTGTTTATGTGCGTGCATTCTCACTAATCTTCACATTGTGTTACCATTCTCCTGACTGTTGGCAAACTCAGTTGAAAATGACATGGGCATATCTCTATCTATGAAGAAAGCTGAACATCCTTTTATATATTTCAATATTTTTTGTGTTCCATCTTTTTTTTTCTCTTTTCTTTTCAGTGGTCTGTCTTTGTGCCTATTCAAGTCCTTTGCCATTTTTATTTTGGCAAATAAAAGTTTGGACTTTTTTTTCTCACTGAAAAAATTAGTATTATGTATTATACATTATGTAACATGCCATAATGCATGCCCTTTATCTGTCACTTAAGTTGCATATGTTTTTCTCACTTTTAAAAATCTGACGTTCAGTTTTACGCAGGATTTTATTTCACTATTCATATAACTCAATGTTTACATAGCCAGATTTGGTATTTTTAGATTTTAGATTTGCATCTTGCTTGAAGAGATGTTCCCTACTTTGCAATTATAAAACAAAATTTCCATATTGCAGAGTCTTATGCTTTCTTTTTTGAGCAGCTATGGAATTCATCAAATACATCTAAAAATATTTATTTATTTGTTTGGCTGCACCAGGTCTTAGTTGCAGCACTCTGGATCTTTGATCTTTGTTGCAGCATGCAGGATCTTTAGCTGTGTCACGTGGTATCTAGTTCCCTGAACAGGGATTGAACCTGGTCTCCCTACATTGGGACCATGGAGTCTTAGCTACTGAACCACCAGGGAAGTTTCATAAAATACATTTTTAGTAGCGTAGAGATGCTCATGTACCCTAAATCTATGAAAACGGTGATCTTGATGACTAGACTTCCTAGTGTTGAACCATCTTTGCCCTCCTGGCCCAAGTTCCACTTGATCCTGGTGTGGGTGTCATGTTTATGCAAGCTTCTGCCTGGTTCTGTTAGTAAATTCTCGCTGCTGGGTTTTTGCACTGCTACCCGCAAGGCAGATCCATCTGTAATTTCCCCCTCTACTCCTAAATGTACTCTATTAAAACAGGTTTCCATGACAACACAGGAGTCAGGATTTACACTGGGCTTCCTGCTTTAACATAATGGAAAACTTTAACATAACATAAGGCAAGGTTGAGGGAGATTGTCCCAGAGGGACTTGCTAAAGGAAGACCCGGCAAGGTGGTGGTGGTATCTCTCCAAGCCCTCCTCAATGCGTAACAAAAGTACAGCATTCGGTGTTTATACTCAGGAACCGTGAAATGATCTCTCTCTTTCCATCATGTCTTCAAGTATGGTATGTGTTTAAATGTCAGACCAAAGCCAACCTAAGATAAACAAAGCCAAACGAAAGTCCCAAGTGGTTTTTCAAAACTATTAAAGCTTTTATTAATAATTTTGACATGATGTCAGACTTCCTCAGTGGTAAAGAATCTGCCTGCCAATGCAGGAGACTTAGGAGATGTGGGTTGGATCCCTGGGTTGGGAAGATCCCCTGAAGGAAGGAACGGCAACCCACTCCAGTATTCTTGCCTGGAAAATCCAATGGACTGAGGAGCCCGGTGGGCTACAGTTCACGGGGTCACAAAGAGTCAGACCACGACTGAGCAACTCAGTACACACTTGCAGAGACGTCCAGAAAAGTTGCACAAATAGTGCAATTAGTCCTTACATACACATTTTTATCAGATTTACCAATTTTATCACACTTTTAAAAATCACACCTGCTTTGTTCTTTCTGTCTCTTTCTTTTTTTTCTGAACCATTTGAGAGTAAGTTGTAGATATTACGTTCCTTAACCCCTACATACTTCATTTGATGTTTATTACCTAAAGCCAAGGACATTCTGTTACATCACTTCAGTAAAACGATCAAAATTAATATTGATACAGTATCACTGTGGAACTGATAGACTCTTTTCAATATTCCCCAACTGTCCCAATAATTTATTTTATTACAAAAGAAAATCCAGGAGTAATTTTGGTCATTTTGTTAAGCCAGGTTTTTCTTCCATGAAGCTACCATTTTTCTTTTTTTGGACAAGCATGCTGCAGAGAGATACTTGCAGACCATGGAAATACCCCATTACTTTTCAAGCTTCCAACCATCACTTTTAGCGTTCATTGATGGCTCTTGCCAGAATCAATTATTTTGGAGATTAGCAAATGGTGATTTTTCTACTTCCACTCCAATGCTTTTAAGAAAAGGCAGAGGTTGACTTTCATTTTTTACATCCTGGTATTTTTTTGGTGGGGAGGAGGGAGCTTACAGAAGAAATAATGAGTTTTGTTTTTTTTTTTCCTGGAAGTGAAAGTGTCTTCATTTTCTCCCGATAAGTCACAACTACAATGATTCTTCTGAATTTATACCTAACTTTATGTGGAGGTCTTGCATCTGAAGGATTTCCAGAGGGGAGTATGTCCCTTGGAATTTTAGCAAACGCCACCTGCCTGAAATTGTTGGTGGCTTTTCAATCAGTTCAGTTCAGTCGCTCAGTTGTGTCCGATTCTTTGCGACCCCACGGACTGTAGCACGCCTGCCTCCTCTGTCCGTGGGATTTTCCAGGCAAGAATACTGGAGTGGGTAGCCATTCCCTTCTCCAGGGGATCTTCCTGACCCGGGGAACCGACCTGGGTCTCCTGCATTGCAGGCAGATTCTTTACTGTCTGAGCCACCAGTGGAGCCCGACCCTTTGGTGTAAACCTTTTAATGCGTCCCTGTTGTGTTTAGGATAAAGGGTGTGTTGAAAACAACCCTTGCATGGTATATCCCTTCTAGTCTTGCCTACCAGCCCAGCCTCCCTCTTTTCTTTCTTTGCTCCAGCTACAGTGCCTGGCTCAGCTGTGAGGACCCTGGCCTGTCCTCTGGGCCTTTGCACATGCTGTTCCCTCCACCTGGAACACTTTCTTGATGCTTCCCTGGGCTGGCCCTGCCTCCTCAGATTTCAGTTCAAAATCACCTCTTTGGCAAATCCTTCTGCCTCTCCCCGCCCCACCTTATAAAACATCTGATGTGTAACTTAATGGCTTTCTCCCCACGCTGGGTTGTGAGGTCTTCAAGGAAATGAATGGTATTTATTTGGCTCCCTGCAAATCCCCACTGCTTACTGCATGTTGATTTTTCCACTCAACAAATATTTATTAAGCAATGGATATGTCAGTCACTGGGTGTAAAATACTGAACATGATGGACAAGATTTCTGCCTTCCTGGGAAGGGGTGAATACACACAATAAGTCAGAATTTCAAGACACCAGTGTGTTGTCTGGAACAGGAGCAAATGGAGGAAGGGAGAGGGAGTGTTTGCAAAGTGTGGTCAGGGAAGGCTCATTGGAACAGACAAGTGGAGCCAGAGACCAGAGGGACAGGGAGGCAGGAATAGATTTGAGTTAGAAGAACAGTGGGCCCAGCTACTGGCAAACTAATATTTGTTTAATAGATGAAAGAAAGAATGAATGCCCTCAGCTGACCGTTGTGCTGAGTGCTTTGTCATGCTTTATTTCCCCTGTGAGACTGTGTGTGTGCATGCGCATGCGTGCTCAGTCGTGTGTGTGTGTGTGTGTGTGTGTGTGTACTCACACCAGCTGTCATGTCAAACTCTTTGCGACTCCATGGACTGTAGCTTGCCAGGCTCCTCTATCCACGGGGTATCCCAGGCAAGAATACTGGAGTGGGTTGCCATTCCTCCTCCAGGGGATCTTCCTGACCCAGGGATCGAACCTGCGTCTCCTGCATTGGTGGGCAAATTCTTTAGCACTGAGCCACCTGGGAAGCCCTTACAACTCACCAAATCTGACCTGCAGGTATCCTTACATGCATCATAGAGATGAGGCCCATCGAGAGAGAGGCCGCACAGGAAGTCTTAAGTGGAGGGACCAGATTCTCGCTCGGTTCTGGCTTTTCTGTACTTAACGCCCCTCTTCAGCAAGGCGGGGTGGCCGCAGTCGTGTGACCGACATTCAAACACACATGGACTCTGGGTCTGCGTATTAAAAATTGGGTGTGTCCACCTGTGTCCCACCCAAGATCTCCAGCGTTTGGTTTGCACTTTTTTTTCTTTCTTTTTGAGAGTTTCTACACTTTCTCCAAGGGGTCATTTCTCCACCTTGAACCACGCATCGTGCGGGGGGGCTCAGGCTACCAAATACTTAAGCACACGCGGCACGCGCGTGCACGTGGCTGTCCCCAGGGGCCTGGCTCTGGGCGGGGGCGCACTCTGGGGTAGGACTTCTGGGGCGCTCGAGGGCCATACTCACTGGCCAGACTGTGACGAGGGGGAGGTGAACGCAACACTTAAGGGAGTACCAAAAAGCCGAGTAACTACGATAAACAATATTTTAATGCAATATTAAAAAAATGAATTTTCCAAAGTCCTACGAAGAACAAACTAGCAAAATGTTTTAAACACGGGATCCGACTTGCTGAGTTGGTCAATCTGGGGCGCTCCCCGGCTCTGAGACAGGAGCCCTGGGGCTGTACGGGGCACTGGGGCTGGGCAGGGATCTGGGGCGCCCCCTCGGCTATGGCGCGACGGGGGCCTTCAGCGCGGGGCCCAGGATAGGGAGACTGGCGGGAGGGACGGGGGCCCGGGCCGCGGGGGCCCGGAGTCGGGACCGTCTCCACCCGGCCGCACTGCCGGATTCGTAGCGGCGGAGGCCGCGCGCCCCTCCCGGGGCCGTTTCTAGAGCCCTCCCGGGCGCAGGCTGCGGGACCTTGGGAGGCCCGCGTGGAAGAGAAGGACGCGCGACCCCCAGTTCCTCTGGGGCGGCCGCTTCGGAGCATGCACCCCGCCGGCCAGCGCCTCGCGCTCTGATCCTTCGGCACCCCGTGCTCCCGCAGCCATGGGCGCCGGGGGCCGGCGGGGGGCGGCAGCCGTGCTGCTGATGGTGGTCGTCGCCGCGCTGCTGGTGGGCGCCGCGGGCCACCTGTACCCTGGAGAGGGTGAGTCTGGGGGGTCCCGGGGTGGGCGGGAAGCCGCGCGGGTGGGGAGGGGACCCTTTGCCAAAATGGAACCACCCCCCGATGTGGACGGAGTGCCGTCCTCCGTCGGAGGGCGGGTGGCCCGGACGGTTTCTCCGGCCTCGCGGGGGGCGGGAAGCCGCTGACCTTGGCCTTTGCCCGCCTGGGCTCGAGGCTCCACGACCCGCAAGCGGGCCCCGGGCTGGAGGAACCTTGCCCTAGTGCCCGCCCCTCCGCGGGTGCCTCTCCCGAGAGCGCTCCTCGAACCCCCGTGTCTGGGCCTCTCCGAGCCCACCACCTGGCTCCAGAGACGGGACACGCGTCCTCTCTGGGTCGCCTCCGAAAAGTGGGGTCATCGGACACTCTCGTACAGCCAGATGCCCCGGGCACAGACGGTTTGGAGTGACTAACGAAGGCAGGGTAGTCCCTTGGGATCCCAGCAGCTTGGTGACGCTCCCCCAGGGGGCGAGGAATTGTAGAACCCGCCCCTTTCTTTCTGGTATCTAGACCCATGGCTACCCCTGACTGCAGTTCCATGTTTATACTCTGGAATTCTGTTTCCAGATGTCGGAGGCAAGCTCTAGCCCTTGGCAACAGCGCAGCTAGCTGTAGTAGCAGTAGTGTCGGCTTTTATGATTATTATAGCTAGCGTTACCAAATGCCTTGGGCTGGCCCGTCTTATCTCTCTGGATCTCTGCCGCAGCCCGTGGAGGCCGATACTGTTAGTCCATTTCACAGAGGCATAAACTGAGGCTCAGGAAGGACACAGAATTCACTTGCCCCAGAATCAGAGCTAGAGAGAAGACAAACCTCTCTGGTGGTGCCAGGGCCCAGGGCTCTGCCAGCTGCCCACGCCCCAGGAACCCCTGGTAACCTCCCGCCTTTACCTGTCGGCTGGGCAGGTCTCTAACCTGGGGTCAGCCCAGCACCCCACCTCCCTTCTCAAGTCTCCCTCATGAGTGTCCCTGGGCTAGCAGTTCCCTGGGCTGGGGAGAGGGGGCAAGTCCCAGCATTTTCCTTGGGCTTGACAGCAGGTCTTTCTGGCTGCAGGTCAAGGATGGAAAATCCTTTAAGAGAATATAACTGGGGTTTCCCACCATGATGGCGGAGGCCCTGCTTTCAAAATATGTGTTGGGTTACTTCTTCAGATTTCTCCATAAAAGGAAATCAGTCCCGATGAGGAAGGGGTCAGGCAGGGAAGGAGCAGAAGTTCCTGAGTTGCCTGTAGGTGAGTGGGGATGCACAAGAAAGCACGTGGGGGCTCTGGAGTTGACAAACCGGGTTTTGTGGAGCACCTCTGCCAATTAGGCAAGGTCTCCAAGTGCCAGAGTGCCTGGTATACAGTGGGTGCTCCTCCAAAGAAGGATAGCAGTGAATTTAGGCTCTTGTTTAAAAAAAGACAAAAACCCAGACCAGCTGTTAGATCTGTATCAGGCTTTGCATGCCCATGCGCATATGTGTCTGTGTGTACGTGCACACCTGTATATGTGTGTGGTTCCTTGCTCCTCTGTTCCTGGTAGCTTAGTAATTGATGGTGGATTTGTGCCTGGGCTGGCTTTCCTGGTGGCTCAGATGGTAAAGAATCTGCCTGGAGGAACCTGGGTTTGATCCCTGGATCGGGAAGATCCCCTGGAGAGGGGAATGGCTGTCCACTCCAGTGTTCTTGCCTGGAGAATCTCATGGACAGAGGAGCCTGGTGGGCTACAGTCCATGGGGTCCCAAAGAGTCCGATACGACTGAATGACTTTCACTTTCAGGGGTCAGTGGATGGATTTACCACTTCTTACATGTATATAGTTTCCACGAGGGAGAGGCTTAAGTTTCTCTTGTTGACTGCCAGAGTTCCAGAGCCTAGAGCAGTCCCTGACACCTAGTAGATGTTTGATAAATTTATTTATTTTGACTGTGCTGGGTATTCATTGCTGTGCTGGGCTTTTCTCTAGGTGTGATGATCGAGGCTACTCTCTAGTTGCTGTGCACAGGCTTCTCATTCCGGTGGCTTCTCTCATTGGGGAGCCTGGGCTCTAGGGCACGTGGGCTTCAGTAGTTGTGGCACGTGTGCTCAATACCTGTGGCCCCCTGGCCCTAGAGCACAGGCTCAATAGCCGTGGCACTTGGGCTTAGCTGCTCCGCAGCACATGGGATCTTCCCACACCAGAGGTCGAACCCCTGTCCTCAGCATTGGCAGGCGGATTCGTCACCCTTGGACCACCAGGGAAGTCCTAAATATTTGTTCTAGATTCAACTCCTATCCTTCCTGTTCGTAGGAGTCCAAGTCACGTCTCCTTTATTCTCCAGATAAAACCTAACTGACACAAATATAAGCAAAGTCTCCGCAGGTGCTATTCTACACACTCCGCATTGATAATCTCGATTAATGCTCACCACAGCACTCTGAGGCAAGGTTTATTATCCATTTCGAAGGTGAGGAACTTGGATGAGGTGGCAGTGCTGAGATGAGAACCCCAGTTTGTTAATAAAAGGTTTCTTAACAGAAGGTTCTTCTTGGGACTCTGAGCCTCCCCGCCCCAACTCCTGTGGTATAAAGGTTAACAAAATACTCTCAAATAAATGACATGTGATGCTCTTCGGAGGTTTGGGGAGGGGCGAGGAACTTTCCGGATCATTGGTTAATCTCCAGCGGCAAGCAGTGTGGCATTCTGTCTGGGGTGGGGGTGGGGTCAAGGGAGATCAGTGGAATTTTGAAGGACTGAGGACTCTATCCTCGACGTCACGTGGGATGTGCCAGCCCACTTCATCCCCCCTGTGGAGTCTCTGTGGCTTGGCTGAACTGGGCAGTGGTTTTCCCTCCCATGTCTCCTTGGGTTGACCCACTCTGGCCCGAGATGACCCAGGAGCACTGCGAAGTCAGAGAATGAAGGCAAAGTGGGATTAATTATAGTGGAAACCGAATCTTGGCGGGGGCAGTGAATTGATGAGTTGAGGTGCTAGATGTTGTTTTTGGATCCCCCTTACCTCTCCAGGGTGGAATCTGGTGTTTCTCGTGTGGATTTTCTGGTGCACTCCGGGACCCTCAGAGCAGAACTTCTGCTCTCTGGGTCGGTTCTATGAGATTCTTCCTAGTCTTTGCTTCCCTCCTGATGACCTGACCCTCGACCCTGCCCTGCTCATTCATAGAGGTCACTGGGGGCGAGCCTCACCCTGAGGGCCCCCACCTCACTCCACTTCCTCCTTGACATCCTTTATTTTTAGGCTGGAATAGATCTTCTCGATTTCCGTGCTCTTGATCTATGAGGTTGGATAGTTCTTGGTTGCAGGGGGCTGTCTCGTGTATTTCAAGATGTTGCACACTGTCCGTGGTCTCTGACCTGTAGCAATGCCCCTCTCCAAGTCATGACCACCAAAAAGTGTCTCCAGACACCACCAACTGTCCTCGGAGTTGAGAACCACTGCTTTTTGGTGCTAGTGGTAAAGAACCTACCTGCCAATGCAGGAGACACATATGAGATGTGGGTTCAATCCCTGGGTCAGGAAGATCCCATGGAGGAAGGCATGGCAACCTGCTCCAGTATGCTTGCCTGGGAAATCCCATGGACAGAAGATGCTGGCAAGCTGCAGTCGATGGGGTCATAAACAGCCAGACACGACTGAAGTGACTTAGTATGCAGGACTTATCCACTTAGGTCCCCTCCTCTCTCCCCTCTGTGCGGGGATCTCCATCCGCCCAGGAGCCTTTTCTCTTCAGCCTGTAGACACTCAGTACTCCCCAGGCCCCGCTACCCACCACCCACCTTTTGCCTTCCTCATCAAGCCTCCCCCAACCGCTGATGGGCACTCATCACCCTTGCTCTCTCACCTTTCACCCACTGCTCTACCCACAGCATCTGGCTTGTGTCTCCATTGCTTCACCCATGGTGCTAGCAAAAGTCCTTCCTCACCTCCCAATGGCAGCCTCACCCTAGTTGACTTATCTGGGTTTTGCCTCCCCTCTCCTGATGAGTTTTCACCTGAACCTGGCTCCTCCCATCCTCTCTCTTCTTTTCCTCTGCTCCTTTTCCGGGCTGTTATTATCTTTAGTCTTCATCGAGGGCCATTCCCTACTCTGACTCTCTCTCACGCTCACTTTTTAATTTATATGTGGTCAAAGTCTTTAGAACAGGGGTCAAACCCTGCCCGCCCACGCCTGTTTTTGTAAATAAAGTTTTATTGGCATGCTGCCATGCCCATTGGTGCACGCATCCTCTGTGGCTGCTTTTGTGCTCTAAGGGCAGAGTTGAACGGTTGCGATCGCGTGGCTCCCAACAATATTTACACTTGGGCCCTTTCCAGAGAAAGCTTGCCGACTCTGGATTTGGAACAAACTCCTCGAGGATCGTTATGACATGCCTCATAGCTTGTGTGGTCTCTGGTTCGACTTTGAATGAATCAAGTTAAATGAAATTCCCAGGAAAAACACCGTGTTTTCCCCTTTACAGAGAAAGCCTTATTAAAGAAACTGATACCATTTGCTGTGCTGAATGTATGGGTTCTGATGGTGAGAAAATAACTGATGTTCCTTCTTTGGGTGTGTGTGTGTGAGAGATCTTTGGATTTATTTGTTTAAACGGTCTTCTTGGCATTGAATGAGGACTCTGTGCTATCAGCCCTGTCTCTAGTGCCAAGAGAAAGTGGTATCTGCTGGGAGATACCACTTGAGGGGCCTCTTGAGAACCCCTTATGTAAATTTCTATGAAGAACACAGTGGGAGTGACTTGGTTTATGTTTTGCAATTGGACCATATTTATGGTTTTTAAATTAAAATAATAACTGCATTCTCATTGCAAAAAAAAAAAAATTGCACAAGTTTAGAGGGGGAAAAATAAAAGTTCCCTTTTGCCCCTGAAACCATTGTGTTTCTGTCTTGGGAGACGACTATGCTTTGTTTGGACTTCCCAGGTGGCTCAGTGGCAAAGAACGCACCTGCCAATGCGGGAGACACAGGTTTGGTCCCTGGGTCCGGAAGATGCCCTGGAGAAGAAAAT